TATTTTTACGTCTACGCAGAAACTGTTCCCTAATAGATTATTTTAATGAGCAAGCAAACTTTAAAAAAAATAAGTTAATTAAAAAATAAAATACTCATCAGAAAGTCTAAATAACACTATTAGCAAAGTCAAAGAACAAGAAAGAACAAACCTTTTAACAGTGGCGTACACATGACCCATGTGCCCCAGTGTGAAAATTGATCCCCTGGCCCCCCCACCCCCCCGTGCTTACTCAGCGCGGGTCGGGGCCGCAATACATGGCGGCTGGCACCTGGTCGCAGGGGTTGCAGGGCTGCGACCCTGCGACCAGGTGCCAGCCGCCATGTATTGCGGCCCCGACCCGCGCTGAGTAAGCACAGGGGGGTGGGGGGGCCCGGGGATCAATTTTCACACTGGGGCCCATGGGTCATGTTGCAGGGCTGCGACCCCGCGACCGCGGTATGCACACACACTTAAAGGACCACTACAGACACCCAGATCACATCAGCTCAATGAAGTGGTCTGGGTGCCAGGTCCCTCTAGTTTTAACCCTGCAGCTGAAAACATAGCCGGCTATGAAAATCACAGTGAGAAGACACGGAACGTCCATAGGAAAGCATTGAGTAATGCTTTCCAATGGGCGGTTTAAATGCGCGCGCGTCTTGCCGCGCATGTGCATTCGGAGCTGAGAGGTGGAGGGATTTTTCCAGAGCTGTGCAGAGAGCTCTCCTCCTCCGATCCTCTTTCTCTCCTCCCCGTCGGCTGAATGCGCACGGGCGGCAAGAGCTGCGCGCGCATTCAGCCGGTCACATAGGAAAGCATTCATAATGCTTTCCTATGGACGCTGGCGTGCTCTCACTGTGAAAATCACAGTGAGAAGCACGCAAGCGCCTCTAGCGGCTGTCAATGAGACAGCCACTAGAGGAAATAGGGGGAAGGCTTAACCCATTCATAAACATAGCAGTTTCTCTGAAACTGCTATGTTTATGAAAAAATGGGTTAACCCTAGCTGGACCAGGCACCCAGACCACTTCATTAAGCTGAAGTGGTCTGGGTGCCTAGAGTGGTCCTTTAAAATAAAAGGAAATAACGAATGACAGCAATATGTCATCTGCATAGCCGGATTACCTACAAGGTTGTGCCAAACCTAAATCCCCTCATTGTGGCAAGGCACCAGCCACACCAATAAATTGACACTACAGGCACCACTTCATCTAATTGAATTGGTTATGGTGCCTGAAGTCCTCTTGTATTGTCCCTCCATTCAGTGTTGAGCCATTATAGAGCAGTTTAACACTAAATAAAGGTCCCTGGAGGGCCACACATACACAAGAGGTATGGTTAAGGCAGTGATTACTCACTTCCTTCTACTTAAACCAATTCATACCCGCAATGGGCGCTGTGATAGGTTGCAAGATGTCAGCTGACACTCTCAGCCAATACCACTTGTGGTCAGGATAATACTTTATCATAAGCCCAAGAAGCGCAAACGGGATGAGCATCTGTGGACTAGCATTAAAACATTAAAGATGGTTTAATGTTGAATGCTAGGGAACTCCAGACACTATAACCACTTCAATGAGATGAAATAGTTATGGTGCCTACATTGTCCCTTTATTCTAAGTTGTTGTGGTGTGGTCAAGCTGTCATTGCTTAATGCGTTGTTGCTGTCCGATTCAGAATGAGAATGCTTAATTGCGTTGTTCCTGTCCTGTTCACAATGAGAATGGGCACAGCAAAGCACTGGACTACACCAAGAATGGAAGGGATATGGGGTAGAGGTAGAGGTAGAAAGTCTGTGGGGGACAAAGGAATCAACACTGCGGGACAGTTGAAGATACATTATGATGGGGGCCAGCAGGACAGACAGTATGGGAAGAGGGAGAGACTGTATGGGGTAAATGGAGAAACAGTATAGGGCAGAAAAAGAGACAGTGCCTGGGGAGACGAAAAGAGAGGCAATTAAATATGGGTGATGTAGCCTGGTCGGTATGAGCCCAGGGGTCTAGGTTGGGGCCCCTAATATCCTGCTGAGGGCCCTGAGTGATCTTAACATGGCTCTCATTGCATGTCAGATTAGTTTAATGTTCTTTATCAGAACAGTTTCAACATTGTCATTTATGAAGTTAAAAACTACAATTCTGAAGCGAACAAAAAAGAAATAAATAAAAAAGAAATATTAGCATGAAGAACTACATGGCTTGGGTTTAATTTGAAACAGTCTTTTTTACATTTTAAGCAGAACAACACCTGCAGCTGTCGCTATTAAAATCATGTATTGATTTTACTTTATGAACTAGATGTCATTTGGCAAAATCCTTTATTGTGTTCATGTGATTCTCCAGGTACCAGGCTTTGGGTCTCTTTGAGAAGAAAATAGAGAATAGGTCCCCATTGGCTGAATGGGGTCATTAGTATGGAAAATTTTCTACAGATCGTATTGCATTAGCATATCTAAGGTTTAGCAATAGAACCTTGTAGCGGAACGCTGGTCTCTCACAGACTATTTCCGCTGGTAGTCCAGATGTGGCTCAGGAACCAGTAGTAAATCCCATTGAGTAGCAGGCACAATCAATAAGACAATCCAATAATCCCATCACCTTTCCCAATAACTGAACAACACATCAGGAGTAGAACTTAACTAACTTTTAATCACACAACCACTGCTTTTATGCAATGCTCCTGTGCAAGGGAGCCACCCACAATAATTAGTACATTACCCAATAAATTACAAGGTACAACCCACATACCTCCTCCCATCAGCTTATCTGTTAACAGAATTAAAATGTACATATTTTTCCCCCAAGTTCTAGATGTACCCCAAATACATAGGGTACACCCCCTATCTGGTATCCCCTGATAGCCTTGATCTGGGTGAATAACATATTCAAAAGTCACCCAGATCGGACCAGGGGTTCGGGAGTTATGGGCAAGTAAAGTTTTGACCGACCACACAGGCAACAGTATCCGAAAATAGTTCCATAAGTTTTGGCCTTGCGGTCGGTCTCCATTCGTGGAATAAAAGTCCCGAAAGGCTTGCCATCCATGGCTATGCTGGCATTCATGTGAATCCCCATGTTAGTAGGAGTCTTTCTACCAGACGGCGGCTTGTTCAGTAGTTCCAGCCCAAAGATATGGAAGTCTGGAGGTCTCAGCTGTGTTTGTGTAATGATATTGATGTTACAAAGTTTTGGAGTCCAGTAGCCAGATCAGCAATATTTTCTGCCAGAGGTAGCCACTCGTTACCCAGGTGGTTGAGCCCCTGAGCCTTGAGTGACCTTCTGGTCTTAAGCAGAGATGGGAGACTGGAACAGAAAGATGATAATCGTAGTGAAGCAAGCCGAGGTCAGTGGGAAGGAGAAGCAGCAAAGTCAAAATAGTCCAAATTCAGCAACAGGAAGGAGAAACAGGAACACGCTTGATTAGAGAGTACAGGAACCACAATAATCTGACAAAGGTACAGAGACAGGAAGTGGCTTTTATAGGCCAAGAACCAGACACCTGACCAGACACAGCTGAAGAGAGTTGTCACTGATAACCTTGACTCTACAAGCAATGGTATCAGATCTCAGGTAAATTTGCAAAAGGCAGGCTGGTGTACTGGTAAGGAAGAGGTTTAGCACAATATAAACCAGGGTTTGAAACCCAGCAGAGTCAGTTCCTCACAGTTTGCTTAGTCGAGTGTCCGATTTTAGTTCCAGACACTCAACGGCAAAACACCACTGTTCGGGAGATTAAGATGGCCGCCGCCACGTGTTAAACTCCCAAAATGGCGGCCACCAGGGACTTAACAGAGCATTCGTGAGTTTCCACTTAAGAGGTAATAAAACGAATTGGGAGGTTGATTGAAGCCACACTTTGTATCAGGGTGGTCTGGTGTTCGGTAGATTTAGTTCATATGACGAATGCAGTGGGTCAATACAGTTTTATGGGGACAATCAAATGAATGCTTCATACACTGAAGATATATATAGCAGCAAAGTACCGAAAGCATTTTAAAACACACAGTTTTGCAGACAGCTCAATGTCCTTTGCTGCATAAGTTATATAGTCCGAAGTCTTTGCAATATTATATCATATGTCCTCGGCTGGTTCTTAAAGGGCCAGTAGTGCCATACAAAATCCCATTAAGCCCAGCCATTGTACTTAAAGGGCTACATCTTCCCGGGACCATAATCACTGGGCAGGAAGCGGGCAAGCAGCCCCCTCCTAGAACTCAGGGCAAACTCCTTTAAAGTTGCGAGTTTGCTACAAACCTCCCAAAGCATAATTTCAAGAATGAAGAACCTTCGAGAGAGATGTAAAACTGATTTTATAATTTACCGGACTCCACAACTACTTATTTCAAGAATCAGGTAATAGCTGCATTAATTGTTAGCTAACTTATGTGTGTGATATTTGAAGATTCATGGCATCAGACAGAAATTATCCGTAGATGATTAAATGGCATTAATATTACATTTAGAAGAACTCAACATATGACCTGAATAATTTGCTTTATCCGTACAAAGTTTTTTGAAATTTGTCACTGGTAATTTTTATTTAAAATTTGTTTTAGCTTTTTTTCTTTTTCTCTCTTTGTTATTAAAGCACCAGTGCACATAAACCACCAAAGCTGAGGAAATCTGACCTATAAGAGGAAAGACTAATGCATGGAGGTCATTTAGTTACTTCAATGGCCATTGGAAGGAATGCCCGCCTGTCAACGTCAAGGCAGACCCCCCTAGGCAGGTCCTACACTGGCCATTGGGGTAGCTAAATGACCTCCATTTGTTTAAAAATACATAGGGATTTAGGAGAGAGCGCATGTAACTTTTTCTTAGATTTTTACAGTATATATTGGGGCTGATGTGTACTGTGGCCGTTGCTGCGGCCAGGAGTGATCGGAGTGAGCGCAGGAATTATCCTTTTGTATTTGTTTTCACTTTTCGTATCACACAGCTTTGTTACAATGCTGCCGCCCATCCCATGTGTTCCCTATTAAGGGTTAATAAGTATATAGGGGTTTATATAAAAAAATACCCCTCTCTGTCTCATTAGAGATGTCTTTGCCAGAAGCTCAAGGAAGCAAGGTGAAAGGTCAGTGTAGGACCCGCCTAGGGGGGTCTGCCTTGACGTTGGCAGACGGGCATTCCTTCCAATGGCCATTGGAGTAACTAAATGACCTCCATTTGTTTAAAAATACATAGGGATTTAGGAGAGAGCACATGTAACTTTTTCTTAGATTTTTACTATATATATATTGGGGCTGATATGTACTGTGGTCATTGCTGCCGCCCAGGAGTGATAGGAGTGACCGCAGTACTTATCCTTTTGTATTTGTATTCACTTTTTGTATCACACAGCTTTGTTACAATGCTGCCGCCCATCCCATGTGTTCCCTATTAAAACGGCACTGTCATGGCCAAATCCTGTTTTGTTTTTTTAACCCCCCCCCCACCTCCACTACATCTAACTGACCCCCTAGTCACCCCCAAATGCCCCTAAGCCCCCCATATTACCTATTTTTTAATCTTTATTTTCTGCACCGCCATCTTTGTGTGGGTAGATGAAGTCCCTGTGGGACACGTCATCTGCTCACACTAGATAGCCTGTGAGATTCCCGCACATGCTCAGTGAAACGCTTGGACATGCAAACGGGAATTTCATCTATTCATTCATTCGTCAGAAAGCCGAATGAATGAATGGATATTTTAGACGAACAAACAAACACCGAATAGCGATGTTCATTTGTTCGTGCAGTTTATTACAAGGAGGGAGCTACCAGCACGCAGCTCCCACCTTGTAATATGTAAAGATAGAAGCGGCATGTCCCCATGTCCTCCCTTACTCTATGGGGGTCAATATGAACCCCATATTAGCATAAGGGAGATTAAAATCTCCCGAATGCCCCTACTCGCTATACCGCGAGTAGGGGCATGTCTACTAAACAGTGAGCTGCCTATGGCTGCTAAGCCAATCAGAGTGCTCTTTGTCATTTTACACAGCGTGGGAAAATTCCAAAGATGCGG